GAGATCGTGACCTGGCTGAAGTCGGACGCTTAACCGACTGCGCCACCCAGGCGCCCCCAGAAATGGATCTTAATAGTGCTGACCCCACTTATCTTTTCCCTCATTCTCTGCAGTGCCTTAATAGATTCGAATGGCTATTAACATTTCAGATCCTGTACTCTTTTAGTCACCTGAAGTTATCCTTAATAGTAATTAATGTTGAAGAGAAATAGTGCATCTATATTTCAAAAGGTATCAAGTCTGCTAGACCACTAATGTGAGCTGGTCTTCATGCTGTTCTTGCTTATTTTTCTTTGAACCTAAGTCCTAACGAGCAGAGGCACCGGATTCATCTACTCTGAGTCAAGTGCAGGCAACATGGTCGCTGATACTGTATGATTACTGAAACATCTTTGCTTCGTTCTCCCACAGGCAGCAATACAATTACCATGTAGGCCGGAATTCTAAGATAAACATACCATTACTGAAAAGACCTTGTGGATAAGCAGTCTTAGCATTCAATACTTTTAAAACACTGTAGAAGTCAGAAAACGAATAAGGAAGGACTGACTACTGCACATTTAAGTAATCTCTGAAACTATGCTGTAGATCTGGAGAGAGTTCCCACTGTTATTGTTTGGAGGGACGTAACAACTAGGCTGCTGTTGAGCTGGAAATGGTAAAGGCAAAGCAGGCAGAACTGAGCGCTTTGGAACAATTAGGGCGTCGCTACGTGGGAGGTCTAAGAAGAAAAGTAGAAATGGAATACAAGGAGATGGCAAATGTTTAGGTGCCTTGAAAAGCAAGGCTGTGCTTAAGTGAAAGAAAAAGTGCCAGCGCTGAGTTTTCAGGTTAAGATTGTGAGTTCTGCTCCTGGGCTTGCGGCTGCAATTATCCATGTTAAATATCGGCCCCTAACAGTGAAGGCACGACTGCATCTTTTCCACTCCTACCAGGGCAGCAGCTCCTCGTCTCCATCTATTCATTCATTTCTCAAACACTGTAGTGAGCACCTACCACATACCAGGCACTGCTGCAGTTTTTGCAGTGTTTATAGATCAGAGAAGGAGGTAGTAACCGACAACAAGTAGTGTGGCGGTTATACAAGTACAAGGGCAGGGTACGTTAAGGGAGATTTCCCCCCTCCCCAGCCCTCTTTTATTGATGTGACAGCCACAAGTGTGGATCAGATAGTATTCTCTGTGGCTGTAGTCTGACAGGTTAGGGAGGAAAGAAAGGGCTGTGAATGCATAGGGGTGGTTTCCACAGCGTGAAAAAAACACATCACTCATTGAGAAGATATGCGGTGGAACAGAGGAGAACCAGGCATGTAGCGTTCTGCGTTTCGTCCATCTTTGACTCTTCATCTGGCAGGGCTCTGGCAGCTTTCGGGAGTTAACATACACATTTACTGGACTTTGGTGATGAAGGATCTAGTGTAGCTTTGCAGCTGCAGCTGAGGGAGATGCCCGGCCTCAAACAGAAGTCACAAACCTAGACTCGCCAAGCAATATCCTTGGCAGGAGTGGGAGGATATCATATTGGACCAGTGGTTATGGAGCTTTTAGAATCATCTGACTGATTTTAGTAAACAGTGATATCCAGACCCCCTCCAGATTAGTAAGAAGCAAAATTTCTGGAGTACAGCTCCAACACTGGGTTTTGTATTGAAGCTTCCCAGGTGATTCTATTGTGTAGCCAGCACTGAGAATCATTTTACTGGATAATAGGGTTCATTTGCTAGTCA